CGTTATATAGGGGGATATACGATATCATGAACCTATATAGAGAACTCCCTGTCAGTCGGTAAAGTGTTCACAATGAAGCCCTTGTGTAGAATTTCAGACAATTCCGTTGAAAAATGTGGGTAAAATCATCAAAATACCGAATATTGGGGGTACTGTTATATGTGGACTATATGATATCGTGGACCTATATAGATAATTCTCTTTCAATGAATAAAGTACTCACAAGGAACTCGTTGTGTGGCGATTTTCAGACCATTCCATTGGAAAATGTGTCTAAAATCATCAAAATTCCGAATATCGGGGCAGACGGACGGACAGTCTTAGAATTTTAAATGAAAATGATTATTTCGATGAGTTACAAACGGAATGACGAACTTAATATATGGAGGGTATATGTATGGTGGAGGGTATAAAAAAGGTGATGTCCGATTGTCTTCAAATTTCACACATCTCAATAATTTTATTACCCCAAGGTCTGGTGTTAAGAAGGAATGTGTCGGTCCACTCCTTCTGGTACCTCCCCTACAAAGGGTTAACATTTTGAATATCCATAAAGGTCATAAAATGCGAAATAAGCATCAGGTTCTCCTTATATTTCATGCTTTCCATTATTTCTACTAACACAAGATCTGTTGTGAAGATGGGATATATCGGTCTACTCCTTTTGGTACCTCTCCCACAAAGGCTCAAAATTTTGAATATCTATGAAGCTCGTAAAAAGCAAAATTAACATCTGATTCAATTCCAGACTTGGTACATCTGAATATTTCCACCAACACAAGATCTGTTATAAAGATGGATGTGGAGATCGGACCCTTTCTTTTGCTACCTGCCCCACATAGGGTTTAAGATTTTGAAAAACAAAACGCTCAAAGAAACGAAATAAGCATCAAACTCTCTTCAAATTTCGCACATACAAACATTTTTGCTAAGACGAGATCTGTTGTGAAAATGATGCATATCTGCGAACTCCTTCTGGGACCTCACGCACAAAGGGTCATAATTTTCAATACTGTAGAACCTATTGATGCTTTTTAAGTTGTTTTCTCTTAAACAATATCTTATTAAGATATTGCTCACCTCTGTTTTATGGTAAAGTAGTTCTCTCAGAGCGAATATAAAATGTCTCTCTTTTACTTTTTTACTGGAACACAATGAACATCCCAAAAGTAATCAATACTAGCCCATTTTTAACATAGCACCCATGTTGCGATAACTCTAATTTTAATTTCAAAATTTTCAAAGTTTTATATAATTCAATTTTTCTCCATGGTGAAAAAGAATTCAGGACACTCCACAATTAATGTCGTTTTTCGTTCTCACTTGTTTCAATTGATCGTCATTACATTCAATCCCTTTGTGTGATGTTTTTGCACACATACGTGTATATTTATTTATCTTCGGTACGAACATGAAGTTCAATTCGTTGTTGACACCATTCAATTCAATTCAGCAAAATAACGAAACACTGTAACAAATGTCAAATTGTTCTTTTTTTCACTTTTTGTTAAAACATGCATTTGCTTGTTTGTTTTGTTAAAATAACAAAAGAAAATTCGACAATCGACCGTGTACACAATGGCAGCGACACTGGCACAATGAATAGCCAAGGATTTAGTGAATTGAAGTATTTGGTTTACGAATTAATTTTATTGAAAAGGTTTATTGGTTTAGAAGAGGTATGTTTTAGTTAGAAAACGACAGAAATAAGTAAATAAATAGGAGATCATTTCAAAATGTTTATAGTCTAGAAAGATTTTCATGAGGAATAACTAAAGATTTTGACTAAGAACAAAAATCGGAACCACTGTGCACATTTCCGAAACCACTTCCATATGTCCAGGCTACACATAAACAGCGACCGTAACACCAAATTTCATATCTCAAGCACTATCTGTTCATCGAAGACGAAATTGTACAAAATATAGTACCATTTAGCAATTTTCGTTCAATTAAAGAACCCATTTGCAAAACCACCTCTATATCTTAATTCAATATACCAAGAATGACATCTAGGGTAAGTGTACCAGTAGTCGGCACTTTTAGGATTTTCGTGTTTTTAATCGCTCACCATTCTAAGTGGAACTTTTCAATTATTACAAAGTAATTTATTCAGATTCGAAATTTTGTATAGTTTTTGCAATAATAAATAAAGTTTTAATAACGTTTTATTAAATTTCATAAATTTGTAGTTTTATTAAAACAATGCTTTTTTGCCAGTAGTCGGCACCACTTGCCAATTGTCGGTATGGCATGTTCCAACAGTCGGCATACCAATTTTTTTGTAAGCATAATTAATAATAATAATAAATTAATTCATTAAGATATAATATTTCTGTTTAGTTAAACTGATTCGACGTCTTTATTGTACTTTTCTTAAGAATATGGATTGTTGAGGACCTTCACAAACAAAAATTTAATTGTTATTAGAATAAATCATCTTTTCTTAGCGAAATTGTACACAAAGATAGCTAACAATATATTTGAAGTAAACAAAATATATTTAGTTATAATAGTTTCATTTATTTGGGCTTAAAAATAAAAAGTGCCGACTACTGGGACATGCCGAACTTAGGCACACTTACCCTATATCAAATTTGAGGATTCCCGTCCTATTCCTTAACCCACATGTAGAACGCATTTCCAAAACCACCTCCATTTCAAAACCACAGACACCAACAGTGACATCTATATCAAATTTCAGGATCTTAGCTCTATTCCATTACCCAATTTTAGTACACATATCCGAAACCACTTCCACGGTTAGAGCTAAAAAATAACTTAAAATTTTGGATTGGGAATTAATGTTAAGGAGTAGAATCGATGTGAGGAGGTAATTTTGGAACGAAAAGTACTAAACGGCACTAAATTTAGTACAATTTGAATGTGGAAGAACGGATGGAGCTGGAATCCTGAAATTTGAAATTAACATTACTGGCACAGTGTAGGATTTGGATATGGAGGATGTTTTCGAAATTTGTACTTATGTCCACGAAAAGTATTCAAAGTTACTAAATTTGGTACAATTTTGATTTAAGTGAACCGATAGAACTGAAGTTCTATAATTTAGAAATAAGATTACTATAGCATTCCAGGACTTATGAATATATGTAGTTTTGGAAATTCGTGTACTAAACGGTACTCAATTTGATACCACTTAAATTTTGGGTGGACCGGTAGGATTGGAGAAGCAGAAAATTTGCATTGCGGTCCCCGTAGTAGGTCAGTAATAAAGAGGTGGTTTCAGAAATAGGTACCACAAGTGCACGAAAAGAAAAGCGTACAAAAGCATTTTGGAGAGAATTTTCCAGTAAAAAAGTTATTCGTGATGGAATTCAAACGCGATAGTGTGATTTCTTTATATTTGACTGGAAAATCAAAAGTGGCTATCGTTAGAGCACTCCAGCATTTAGAAGTGAATAAATCTTTTGTATCTCATACCACCGCTCGTTACCGTACTGGTACTGGTACCGTAGCCCGACTTCAAAGAAGTGGACGGTAGAAAACAAAAATTGTTCGAAAAGTAAAGAAGCGACTTAATCGAAACCCGCGTCGCAGTGGCCGAAACATGGCTTGTAAGCTGAACATATCGCAATATTCCATTCGGCAAATATTGAAAAATAAGCTCGGGGTAGAACTTACACCGCAACAGAAATAAAATAGACTCAAAAGAGCTAGAGAGTTGCTTTGCTTGGCCGAAAGTCGTGAACTGCCGAATTTGCTTTTCTCCGATGAGAAAACATTCGTTGTCCAGCAGTTTGTAAACAAACAAAATGATCGTATTTACTTGCCAAAGAGGTCAGCTGAAAATGTGCACCTACGGTTGGCCACCAGAACTCATGCGCCAGCCACGGTGATGGTGTGGGCCGCCTTAACAGCCGATGGTAGCTCTGTGCTCGTATTGATCGACCGTGGCATCAGAATGAATGCCGAATATTATCGCGAAAATATTTTGGAGGGTGTATTGAAATCCTGGGCACGCAAACATTTTGGCCGCAGACCTTGGACATTCCAACAGGACTCAGTACTATCGCACTCAACCAAGAATGGTTTTAAAATCCGTTGGACTATTGTGTCTGGAGTATTTTGGAAAGCAAGGTTGACACTAAAAAGTACCAAAGTGTCGATCATCTCAAGCAAGCGCTTGGCCGGGAACGGGTCAAAATCCCGCCGAGCAACATTCGGGCAGCGTGTGACGGTTTTGGTAGTTCTGGATGAAGGTATAGGTTTTGGATAAATATTTGATACTGGTGTCTCTGTTGGTATCTGGTTTTGAAAATGTATTTGAAACTAGGAGTTGATATTGAAAATGCCAAAATATTTGTGTCATACTGAGATGGAATTCTGAAATTTTGTACCGAGACCACTCTTGGGTCTAGGTTGAAGAGAATGAGGTGGTATCGGAAATGTGTACTGTAAGTGTTCCAAAAGTACTAAATGGTACTACATTTGGTATTGGATGAAGGGATGGGAACAAAGTTCTAAAAATTTAAATTTAGATTGGTACGATAGGTACTAAATTTTGTATTGGGTGACGGGATAGGATTGGAATCCTCAAATGTAATACTTAGATCTCTGTTGGTATCTGAAATTGTGATATGAGGTAGTTTTGGAAAAGTGCACTAGAATACGAAAAGTTCTGGTCATTCCTGTCTGCCACAACCGAATTTGTTTACCTTTTATCAATGTGGGTCACATAAATAATAATAATGCTCTTCGACTGTGATTCTCTTCTCTCTGTTTGTCAACCTCTCTTTGAATAAATATTAAATTTTCTCTCAGTGTTCAATTCAGTCATGCATTCATTTAATCAGTAACACAATCACTGACAACAAACACTGTCACCAACACTAGTCCATGTTTTATACGGTTATTTACAATTCCTCATGTGGAAATATTGGATGTGTTCTAGTCTTTCATTCAGTTCCCCCCTCATCCACTCCACACAACTACAACTAGCCGAACTACCCACTAATGCATATTTATTCGCATATTTACAGTTCCTCATGTGGAAATACTGGATGAACGTGGCTCCTCAACACCAGAGAAATATTACAAAGCCGGCAGTACCATTGAACTTCAGTGTGTCATATCGAAAATACCGCAGCCAACATCGTACATAACATGGCGACACAATACACGTCTGCTAAACTATGATACCAGTCGCGGTGGTATTAGGTGAGTATTTCATAGCATGTTTTTTTTTTCTGGTGCCTCTTTTTTTTTGGAGGGGGCTTCGAAAACCGAAATCGACGTTGCCGCCATCCAATCCAACCAACTCCCAACCTCCATATTTTTGTGACAACATCTTGTGTTGAGTATTTTACATCAGCAATTCGTGCAAATGTCATGACACGGCACCCACATAAACACATTAGCCCCGATGTAGATCTTACTTAGCAAACACCAGCTTACACACACACACGCACACTGCTGGTGTTGGGAAAAGAGAGCTGTGAATGAGCGCGTGCACAATGCCACAAAATCCAATTACAAAGACTTCCGAACAAACACACACACGTCTAAATATACAAAAATTCACACTCACACACACGACCACTCGCATACAGGATGACTAAAATTTTAAATGGATTTTCTTAGCAAGTGGCAATGTGAGGGTATTTTCCGCCGGCACCTCCATTTTTACAGAACCGATCGGCTATACACTCAGAGTCCCGCACAGAAGTGCCAAGAAATTATTAACTCAGCCTCATTCTCTCGCTACCGCTCTAACGCTCACTGGCACTGGCACTTAAAGGAGCAACAAATTTTTACTGGCATCCTGTCAAAATAGCAAATTAAGTTTTAAATTGAAAATAGCTTAATATCAGCAATAGCTACTCCAGCAGCAGCAGTAGCGGCAACTCAAAACAAAATTAGTGACACAATCTCCTCACAAAACACCAAATGGTCTGAACATGCAAGAAAATAGCAGTTTCAATATTTTCGAATACAATCACACACACACACATATATACGGACACATCAATTTATGTTGACGTGTTTTATGCGTTTATGTTGCAGGGATGACACGGTATGAGGTTTCCTACGACAGGTGGACAACCCATTGCAGAGGGATACAACATTTTTTATACATGAAGTGAATCTGAACAAGTAAAAAAAGCTGTAAGTTCGGCCGATGTTTCAATACCCTCCACAATTAGGAACGAATTTGACAATTAAAAAAAAAAGAAATCCGTTAAAAATTCTGTTAAAATCTTAAAAATACCGAATGTAGCGGTCATATTAGGCTCTATACGACGCCGAGGACTTGCATAGGTAACTTTTGTCATAAGCCACTAGAATATTCAAATGCGAAACTTGAAAAAAGACCTGTATCTGCACAGACAATTTTCTGTCATAGGCTGAAGTATCCATTATGAACTTCAAATACCATATTTGAAACAATTCCGGTGAATAATGTCGCCTAAATCACCAAAATACCGAAAAAAGGGAGGTACCGTTATATGGGGGCTATACGAAAATGTAGACCTGCACAGACAATTTTTCGTCTTACGCTGTAGTATTTTATATTCACCGATTCCGGTGAATAATGTCGCTAAAATCATCCAAATACCGAATATAGGGAGGTACCGTTTTATGGGGGCTATACCAAAACGTGGACCTACATGGCTCAATTTTAATTCCTGCAGACATAATTCCTGCAGACATAATATATATTTGAGTAAAATTTTATCAAACTATCGTTCGGAAGCTAGAGTGATTTCCACAGACGGACGAACGGGCATCGCTAAATCGATATAGAACTTTATGCTGATCAAGAATACATATACTTTGTGGGGTCTAAAATGTATATTTCGAGGTGTTACAAACGGAATGGCACACTTAATATACCCTCCATACTATGGTGGAGGGTATAAAAATGGAAAATCCAAAATTGAAAACTATATATCGGGACTATATCCAAATCGGACCCAGGCTACTACCTAGTCACAAATAGAGTTTTTTTTAAAAAAAAGATAGTTTTTTTTAAAGACTAAAAAATTTGTGAGTGATTTTAATGGGAGCTTTATGGGTACTATATCCCAATTTGAACCGAATTTTGTCACAATATACACAGAACACCAGGAGCAGAACACTGAATTTGAAGGAAACCGTACCAAAACTGTGCAAGTTACACTTTGAAACAATTTTCGGGTCATTGTCTGGAGGGTGGGAAATTCCAAAAGAGTCTTTGGTTCCCATTGCAAACTTTAAAGAATTTGCTTTTATTACCCAATATTACTTGGGAAGTGGAAGGGGTGCCGTTATGTGGGTACTATACCAAAATATATACCTATGTTAAAATTTTTCATTAAGATGGTTCTCTACCCCAAAATAGCATAAATGCAATTGTTTAAGCAAATCGATTGGAAAACCATAAAATTTGGCAGGAGTATTTTCGAGCAGTATCCTGGTACCAAATATCATTGTGATTTTTTATTATTATTGTGCATTTTACGGATGTGCGGAACATAAACACCAAATCGGATGAAACATATATAAAGGGTGAGATGAAAAAACTGCAACCAACTTCAGACTGCTGTCATTTCTCGTCCGACAGGTGTTAAAATTATTCCAGTGACAGCTCATTATATTGTTTACAAGCGTACAAAAGCATTTTGGTGAGAATTTTCTAGAAAAAAAGTTATTCGTGATAGAATTCAAGCGGGATAGTGTGATTTCCTTATATTTGACTGGAAAACTACAAGTGGCTATCGTTAGAGCACTCCAGCATTTAAATGTGAATAAATCTTTTGTGCCTCGTACCATCGCCCGTTACCGTGATACTGGTAGCGTAGCCCAAGGAAGTGTACGAAAGAAAACATCAACATCAGCAGAAATGGTTCGGAAAGAAAAGAAGCGACTTGATCGAAACCCGCGTCGGAGAAAATAGACTCAAACGCCAAAGTGTTGCTTCGCTTGGCCGAAAGTGGCGAACTATCGAATTTGGTTTTCTCCGATGAGAATTTGAGTACTTTAGGTACACGTGTTGTTAGAATTTCGAAGAAATCTTTAGTTTCTCTATCCGATACAACGTCAAGACTCTCACTTCAAATTTCAGATTTCCAGCTTTATTCCTTCCCCAAATACCAAAGTTATTATTATTTAGTACTTTTGGTACTTTTGAGTATGTATTTCTCCCCTGCCATGCTTTTTTAAATCCCCTGCCATTACTTGTACCAAAGTTACGACTGATAAAAGCATTGAAAATTTGAGCGTTTTGTTTTTTAAAATTTTGAATTCTATGTGGGCGAAATCCCAGAAGAAATGGTCCGATCTTTTTAATGGAAATATTGAGACGAATGGAATCGGATGTTAATTTCGCGTTTTATGAACCTTATGGGTATTCAAAATTTTGCGCCTCTGTGTGGAGGGTATACTAGAAGGATTGAACCGATATATCACATCTCCACAGCAGATCTTGTGTTAGTAAAAATAATAGCATGTGTGAAATATCAAGAGAACCGGGTGCTTATTTCGGATTTTATAATCGCTTTGGTCATTCAAAACTTCCAGTAGGAACGTTCCAGTAGGAACGGTCCGATCTATACCATCTTTGTAACAGATCTTGTGCTGATAAAAATATTGAGTCTGAATAGAATCGGATGTTGATTTCGAGTTTTATCAGATTCTTAGTTGTTCGAAATTTTAACCCGTTATGAGAGAGGTACCAGAGGGGTTGGATTTACATATCCCATCTTCACACCACACCTCGGGTTAGTAAAAATATTGTAATGTGAAGACAATCGGACTCATAAGTCGAATTTTGTAACAGAGAAGAGGTACTTGACGGAGTAGACCGATATTGTCCATTTTCGTAACTGATCTAGCACTGATTCGAATATTAGGAATGGCAAAGTTGGAGCAAAATCGGATTATCCTTTCTCTTTCTGTGCAGTCAAATATTTTCTTTGAAAAGTTCGACCTTTTGTGGGGAAGGTACCAGAAGGAGTGGATATATACCCTGTCTGAGGGTATTATATTACGTTGTAACCAATTTGGATGAAATCGGATAGATGGAGTCTGTCCATCTCCAGGAGGAAGTATCTTCTGAAACGAATTTCGTCAAAAGAGACATACGTTCTGAAACAATTATTTTCATGAACCGCCTTTTCCCATAAACATTTAAGGAAACATTGAACTTTTTCTTGCTCTTTCATGAGAAAAATGGTGCAGCCAAATTGGTTGGCGTGCACGCTTTGCACAAGAACTACAACTTCCCGAATGCAAATATCTTTGAGCAATAGTCTGCTACCCATAAGGACCTAAAATACAAAATTGTGGCCCATTCAGTTGTAAATTATGGCTAGCATTTCTTCAACCCAATATCTAGAGTCTAGTACTATTAAATTAAAAATATTCGGGAATCTGGGCCAAAATATCAAATTTAACCCAATCAAAATCAACAGGTCCCACGATTTGGAGCTTATGACAAAACGAGGACCTTTAATAAAAAACTTTAAAAAGGGATTTTTTTTTTCGAAGAGAACTCAAGGCATAAATATATCTTTTGGAAGTTTTGGCCGATACCTTAAATATATCGAAAAATACCACTATGTAGGGTCTACACCAAACAGTAAACCTCCATTGGAAATTGGAATTTTCTGCAGGAAGATACAACCAAAAGTTTTAAAATACTTGTATTCGAGTGGAGTCTTCCTTCGTAGGTTGGGGGATATAAAAAGCTTTTGGGGGATATAAAAAGCTTTTGGGCGATATAAAAAGCTTTTAATACGTGAGAATATTAGTCGCCTTATAACTTTTGACTCTCTGATAGAATCTACCAAATAATACCTGAATCCATCCTTACAATAACTAGATTCCCCTTTTTATACCAAGGTGGTCAGGATATTACGTCTTTGTGCATTTGTTTGTAACAAGCAAAAGGAAACGAGATAGACCCATAGTTGCTTTTGATGATCTGCATAGAATCACTTTCTGAGTTGATTTATGCATGTCAGTCCGTCTGTCCGTCCGTCCGTATGTCCATGTAATCTTGTGAACAAAATGCAGGTCGCATTTATTATCCAACTAACTGGCCCGGTCCGCGTTGCCGGCCCATAGTTTTTGTCTATTATGCATATTTGTCAAAGCATGATTATTCAAAGATATGAATGTTATAAATATTCACGTACTGGTCGATTAGTTTTTAATTTTTAGTCAAATGAGCAGTA